ACACACACACACACACACACACACACACACACACACACACACACACACACACACCCGCCCCGCCCCTGATTAAGATGCTCAAATGTGCATTAAACCACCAACAGCCAAACGTCAGAGGACTTCAACACCGAGAGAATTATTTTAGCTGTGAGTTTTCATTGTTATAATACTGAGATGTTTATCATCATCAATACAGTCAGAACCAGAACATATCCTGTACTACAGAACCAGAACATATCCTGTACCACAGAACCAGAACATATCCTGTACCACAGAACCAGAACATATCCTGTACCACAAAACCAGAACGTATCCTGTACCACAAAACCAGAACGTATCCTGTACCACAGGACCAGAACATATCCTGTACCACAGAACCAGAACCTGTCCGGTACCGCAGAACCAGAACATATCCTGTACCGCAGAACCAGAACGTATCCTGTACCGCAGGACCAGAACATATCCTGTACCAACACCTGCTCTGTTCCTGTGCACTCGGACTCTAAACATGACGTAATAATTTCATCAACGGGACTCAAATTCTCCTGAGACTAAGCTGAAAGTTTCTCGGCTGTTTGACCGCAGCTTGACGTCTTCAAATGAGCCGAAATTCAACCTGAAGCTCACAGAAACCTCCCGGTGTCGGCGTGAATCCAGCAGCGGTCTGTTTTTAAAAACMTTTTTCAACCCAGAGTCCAACAGAAGCAGAAAGATCTGAGCTGAAAGCTGCTTCCTGTCGGTCGGACTGGAGGAAGATTTTAAAAACTGAGGTCATGAAGTGTCAAAAAATCAAATCTACTGAGTGAAACTGTAGTCTGACCAATCAGAGGCCAGAAAACTTAAAAAAATAAAAATAATAAAGTGTTGTTTAATGGCGAAACTAATTTGTTTTTCTTGTTTGAGCCTATTTTCTGGAATATACGATATTTACAAAAACAATAAAACAAACTTATAAAGCTGTGGTCTCTTAACAGAATTTAAAATACATTGATTGTTTTACTTTTTTATTTTAAACCAAGCGATTCGCTTTGAAAATTACAAAAAGCTGCCGAGTTTTATGGGATTAGATTTTGATTTTTGGTGGAAACTCTAAATAAGTTAAAAGGAAAACCTAAAAATTGAAGAGAAGGTGAGATCCTCACTCAGTATTTTAGTGTTTTTTTTCCCTCAATGATCAGTTTAACTTTGATTTTTGATGTTGTCTTGCAAGTTTTTACAGCCTGTGGATAAACTTGTACCACCTTTACCAAAGCTTTAATCAGAGTGGAAACACTTTGCTCCTGTTTTCTGCAGAAACACGTTGAAGTCTAATTAATTTTGTTCCTGTTGTCAACAAACTCTGTCAGCTCTGAGATGACTGGTTCTCATCAAGAATTCAAAAGTTTATTTTAGTCGATTCTTATAGACAAAGATGTCACTGATGTTTGATGAATTGTTTCGATCATTCAGAACTGTTGGTTTGTTTGTGGGTTTTGCTGACAACAGAAAATCTGAGCAGTAATTTCTCGGAGCCGTTGGTGAGCTGAAGTCCTCGCTGCCCTCGTGACGTTCTCACAGATCTGTGTTTAAATGAAGAACAGAATAAATGACAGATTAAAGTCCTCTCAGATCTCCTCTCAAACGTTCAGGGAGCCGAAGCTTAACCAGCAGTTCTGTCTTTTTGTTTTCCCTCCACCTGAAGCTTCAGCAGCCGAAGTCGGAGCCAAACGAGGCGTCCCAAAGTCCGATTCTGACCCGGTTCTTCTGCTGAGCTCCTCCACAGAAGAACTTAAATCCCGGCCTGCCTCTTGGATTTGAAATTAAAAAACGATGGAGAGAAAGCAAAGTGCGCTCCCTCCCTCCGTCCTCCTGTCTCTGTCAGTGTCTCGGCCCGTGCCACCAGCGGGGGGCGCTGTTACGACGCCTTGCCCAGCTCGATCTTCTTCTGGATGGCCTGCGCCGAGTGGTAGATGAGCGAGTCGATCAGTCCGGCCACTGCACCAGAGGGAAACACCGGCTGGTTAAAGTTCAACGTTTATTTATCAGGTTCAAGACGAAACACGAGAAACTGACCTGTAAAAACCCCCCCGATGATGGCGCAGACTCCTGTCAGGAAATGTGTGAGCGATCTGGACAAACAGAGAGAAGTTTTAGTTTTTGTTTACATTTAATTTGAAAGGCACTGTTCCAACCTTACCTGTGTTTCTCTGTGAATTTAACCATCATGGGCGACAGCTCGTATAAAACAAAGACCCCTGGCAGCCCCTGGTCTCCTATTAACCCATTGGCAACTTTTTCATGCCTGGTGACCGAGAACTGGTTTGTTTTTACTACCTGGAATAAATAAAAAAACATAAAATGTTCACCAAATCAGTTTTATGATGGTACAATAAATATACTTTTTCTTTACATTAAAAAGAAAATAAAGTTGGACTCACGTCTCCATCAGTTTTCACGTATATGGTCGGGACAATTTTCACAAAGTACTGGTACATCATTGAYGCTGTGGTAAAGAAAAATGTTTAATTTGTTTTTATATAAATGTCTCTTATAAACAATATTTAAAAGTATATATGTTTGACTAAAACACATTAAATGTGGATTAAAACTTCTAATAATAAAATTAAAAATTTAAATAAATAAAATTCAGATAATTGCTATTTCCCCCCGGGGATCAGAGTATTCTGATTCTGAAAAGAAGGACCTGTGAACTGAACCACAGGGTGGCGCTGTTAAGATTTTTTTTGTTGTTTTTCACCACTTCCTGTTTCCGGTTGTGGCGCGTTGCTGAAAAGACATTTAAACGCAGCTGCGCTCAAAAAAATACAACAAAACCTGAGTTCAACAGGCGGAAAACCAAACMTATTATAGTCGAATAAGTCAAGGTAAGGCCGGTTTTCAAGAAGTTACTTTGAATTAAGTAATTTTATCGGCAGAAACGTGACTCAAGGCCACAGGTGACGCTAGCATGCTAAGCTACCGATGATACTTGAATGCTAAGCTAACAAACTACGTCGAGATTTATGAAGTATTGAGATTTAAAGCTAAAAATTCAACGTTTAATGTTCGGTGTCCGTCATTAAATGTGCTAACTGCAGATAATAATTACTACTGTTGTACTTTAGTGAAATTTATAATTTTAGTGAACTGGGCGATCTGCGCCGCATTAGCTTAGCTTAATCTATTTGAAGGACGTTTTCTTCTCTGTCTGTGCAGCATGACGGCTTAAAATCTAACTAGTCAGGTTAATAACGTTAAATAATCCCTCACCTTAACCAGGTGAGCTGAGAACCCTCATTTTCCATAACTGAGGAGGACTTATTTATTTTGGTAATAAAATACTTAATGTAGCATCTTAATTTTATTTTCTGAACCATATGTGTTTTTAACTTTCAAAGTATTCGAGCAAATCAAGCTGCTGTTTGATTACGTCAGTCTGACTTTGTGGTAAAGATAAAGTTTGCTCTTCATTGCTCTTTGAACCAGCATGATGACGTCATCCTTTGAAATCTGAAGCTTATCAGTAAAATAAGGCCTTAAAAATTATTCTGTGAAACACAGAACCAAACTGATTAATGTAAACAGATCAATAACAGCTGATGAATAAATGTAGGGATAATTGTTTTTATCCTACACCAAAATTAAATCTGACAGCAGATTCCAAAAACTTCACAAACCAAACAAAATAACAAACATGTGATTATCTCAAGTATGAGGGAAGTTTTTGATTGTTTAGGTGAATTCAGCTCATGTTTTCTTGCTGCAGAACGAATGTGATCTTGTCTATTTTTGCTCATAACTTAGTGTTCAAAATATCACCATGAAATTTAGGAAAAGATTCACATTCTGGTTTTTGAAGGAAGCATCTCGTATCCTAAAAACTAATAAAACTTAATAATAGCCAATGCAAATGTAGCAGAAAAGGTATAAAATAATGTTACAAGGCAAACTGCAGCATCAAATCAACTTAATGTGTCTTAAAAAGTAAGGGTGACAGCGTGTWAAATGTRTKAAGTGATGAAGACGAGCGTCAACACACTTTGCTAACAAGCCTTATTTCAGATTTTAAGAAACACTTCGTTTCAAATCATTATCAAATTTGGAACAAATAAAATAATGTTCTTCATGGCAGCTTATTTATTTAAGGTTCACTAAAAAAACTCAGTGATTTACTTTGATCCTGTTTTTAAAAAATTGTCTCTTCAAAACAAAAATTAAAAAGTGGAAGACGAGGCTGTGGCTAACTACCTGACGGCAGCACGGTTTGTTGAAATTGGAGGAAATAAGCAAACACACCGAGCAGCCTTACAAACTCTGGTCACAGCAGTTTGGGTAGAAAATGGCAGCAGCTGCTGACGAAATGTCAACATCCGTAATAAATGTGCTCAAATTCAGAGTTTTGTCTAGAGGGGAAAAAAAAGAGTAAATTCTCTGGTGTTTTTTCCTATTCGTTCTTGTTTAGTTATTAAATAAGGAATCTGTTTTGTTCAAATGTCCTCCTCCTCCTCAGATGCCTGTAGCTGTTGGTTCGTACGGCCAGACGCAGCCCAGCTGCTTTGATCGGGTCAAGATGGGCTTCATGATGGGCTTTGCGGTGGGGATGGCTGCTGGCGCCATGTTCGGCACCTTTTCCTGCCTCAGGTAACAAAACCAGAACCCCTTCATGTTTTTGTTGCAGCTGCAGAGCTGGTTAAACTGGACGGTGGTTGTGTAACAAAAATGATGTCGTCTCTGCAGGGTCGGCATGCGTGGCCGGGAGCTGATGGGAGGAGTGGGAAAGACCATGCTGCAGAGCGGAGGAACGTTCGGGACCTTCATGTCCATCGGCATGGGAATCCGCTGCTGAGGGGGTCCAGGAACCGCCTCCCCCACCCTCCTCCTGTACAGCCATGGGACTTTGTAAACACCTGCTCTCTGTCGGCTCAGTCCTGTCCTCTGACCAACTCACGCTTTGCTTTTGTCAATAAAATGTCAGATTTTGTCAAATCAAGCTCTGAGAGTCACTGTAAACATCTGSTCCTTTAAATCCAGCAGCACATTGATCAGACGACAGGCTTTAAGAAAGAAGCTCCATTAAATTCTGGTTTATTGTTGTGAAAGCTGACGATAAAAAATAATTTAAATAACAAAAAACCCTAAAATAAGATATTTGTCTTTATGTAAACAGCRTCTTCAGCGGCGGTCCGTGTTACTGACCTTGTGGCGCCGTGACGTCGGTTCCGTCCAGAGGGTTAACGATGCCGGGGTAATCTTTGCCAAACGACAGGTGCTTGATCAGATGAGTCATGTTTATCTGCAGAAAAAACAATTTATTTTTAATCATTCAAACCTCGAAGAAAAACAGTTATCTGAGAATTAAACGTAAAAAAAACTCACGTTGTCCAAACCGAAACTCTGCAGGTCGTGAACTGGAAAAAATAAACAATATTTTAGGTTTTAAAGCTGATGTGCTTGTAGAATAAAAACAGTAAAAACTTTAAAAAAAACTCATTTCCTCCATGGATGTGACGAACAGAAGAACCGTTACAGTTTTGTTCTTTTAAACATTGAAGCAAAACGTTTTTATTTCTGTAGTGAAACGTTAACTTGAATTAAATCATTTTGTGTCTCRAGTTAAATAAAATTATCTGAAAATAAATCAGGTCAGATTTAGCCTAAATAAAAGAATAAAACTGTTAAAGAGGTCACAACCACAAACCTAAAAAAAACTTTATTTTGGCTGTGGTCAGCTCGGATCAACAAGGAAGTGTTTTTTTTTAACACCTAAATAATCTGACACTTTTTTTAGATTTGTTTTTAACTTTACCAAGTGTCAAAAAGTTTGCTTAAACTCTCAAATGGTCTTGAATCTGTGTTTCAATTTTATGTTTTTAGTCGTCAAACATGGTGTCAAATACTCCCAGTAACATTACAACCTTGTAGTGTTCCTGTGGGGAGATGGACACAGTAAAATCCTTTATAAAAGCAAATTTTAATCTCATATTTATCATATAAAGTAAAGTATTTCTTTTAGTTATGTTTCTTTTTTACATTCATCTCAACTTTAACTCTAAATGATCCCACTAGGTGGCGCTCTACATCCACACTAAGATCATAAATAGTTTTAGTTTRGCTGTAAGGAGCAAAAACACTTATCTTGTGCACAAATTAGAGAGAAGCTCCAGTTTAGCTTCAAAATATTCTTGGTTTTTAACAATTTTTTTTACATAACTTATGTTTTGCAGACTGATAAAACCTTATATATTGAATATGTTTGTATTTACACAGACATTTAAAGTAAAAACTACTTTAAAACTGTTTCATAAAAAAAGAAAAGCTGGGCTTGAGAGGGGAAAAAAAGAAAGTGCAAAGAAAGCTGGACTTACTTTCCACAGCGTGGACTGCAGAAAGAAGAGAAGAGTCACAAGAACAGTGCAGGAAAAAACAGCATGTAAACGTGTGTGTGTGTGTGTGTGTGTGTGTGTGTGTGTGTGTGTGTGCACAACTCTGACAGCTTTTTCACAAATTATTTTGTCTTTTACAAAGAAACTGGAAAGCTTAACTCTACCATTAGATTAAATCAAAAGGATTTAACGGAGAGAAAAATGAGTGGGATTAAATAAATCTATTCAGAAATCTGAGAGTAAAAATCTGACAGAAAACGATTTTCTTACCGTGAACGTGGGACTGCTGGAAACTTTTTCCTGGAGCAAAGTGGAAATTTCCCGCCACCTAAAACAGAAACGATAAAATAAACACAGAAGAGTGGCAGAAAGTTAAACTCACCACAGAAGAAAATGTTTTTATGTTTAGAATGAAACATATCGTGGAAACAAAATTATAAAGAGAAAGAAGCTAAAACGTGCGGCTCGGAGCGTGAGCGCTCACTGGGTGTGTTTGTTCATGAGGAGCAGGACCGGAGCAGCTCTTCCTTCTGCACRTTATTTTATTTAACCCTMTAAGGTCCAGAKCGGGYATCGACACGACGTTTAAGGGCTAAAAACGCTGCTAATTTCAACTGGGTTGGACAGCACACACATCCAAATACAAAAAGTGTTTTTATTTGTGACCCGTCACATCAAAACCAGGATTAAAGCACCTGTGACATCAGATTTTTGTTATCAACATTAATGCATCTTAGGAAAGATAACATTAATAACATGCTGCAGAACAAATTTCACATCGCTGAGATGAACGGTTGTTGAGATATTTGGATGTGAAGAAACAGGAAGTGATGTCAAAGGGGAGTGTCTGCATGTAAACAGAGCGWTGWTACAAAAACAACACAGACAGTAGAGAAGAATCTGATGTTTCTGTAGATTATTTTGAGTCTCTAGTAAAGAGATGAAGAATTACAAACGACAATGATGATGAAACACAATGATTCATAACATATTTCATTTAAAAAGAACAAGTCAGCTCAGTCTGGGACTGACTTGTGCTGAGCCTATTGTTTAATGTTTTTTAATAAAACTTAACACGACTCACCTTGCACACCAGTCAACTCCATTCCATTACAAACTACTTCCTTTTCACAATAGAAGCACGTTAAAGTCTCCATCAGCATAATGTCTCCATATTAATTAACCGTGTGTTTAATCTAACCGTGCACRTCACTGAAGATGTGTTTACTACATTCACCGATGGAGAAAACAGGATTTTTTTTATATCAGTCAATATAAGCAGCAGAATCGCCACCCGCCGCTGCAACAAGCTGCTCCAAACATTAGCATGCTAACGCACATAGCGGTGCTGCGAGGAAAAGTGTCCCTGGGAAACAATTCACTGGCGGCCGCCACAAATGTTCCACACGTGTTCAGGCTATTTAAACCGGTATATTCAGAAAATTCATAACAAAAWWAAAAACGGTATTCGGTACGAACCGGTATAGCACCCAGCACTATTATGATCACTGTTATAAATGATGCAATCATCAGTATAAGCCCAGCTCTCCAGAATCATCACCTTGTTGACCTCCAGGAAGCCGTAGACCTCACAGCCCTCGTTCTTCTGCTCCATCATCTTCTGGGTGAAACCTTCTCTCCGGCACTGCTCGATGGTCTCKGCGCTCTTAAAGGCCCAGCCTCGCCGCCGGTACGCTTCGCGCACGTCGTCGCAGGTGTTGCAGCACCTGCGTGCACGCACACACACAGAGCAGTTGTAAAATAAATCAAATGAAGGCGGGACCACCAGAGGCGGGCTGCGTGTCGGTGGTGGTCTCACTTCAGGTCCTCGGTCTCGGCTCCGTAGCAGCTCTCGCATCTGTTCGGGTCCAGTGTGCTCGGGTCGAACGGTTTCCCGTCATCAGCCTGACCCAGTTCTGAACAGGAAAAACAAAAACAAACAAAAACACAAACAAAAAAACAACATTTTTTTAATCTCTAAATCAGGGATTAGTAGGACC